TCAGCTGGGAGGCCAAGCCATGATCACGCACGTGTTTGTAGAACACGCTGTGCATGGACTTGTCTATTAGTTCGCCAAGGAGTAGTTTTTCCTCGGCGTTCCTGATGACACTCTTGAATTCCTTCTTTCGAAGTTCCATAAGAGCGTTTATTTCTCCAAGACCTAGGGTTCTTGCCGCATATATTGCTGCCTTATATAAGAACGACCCTTTATGCGCATTTTCATTTTTATGTACAATTTGCATAAGAAAGTTATTCTCGTCTGCAGTGAAATTGACAACCTCGAATGTTAAACTCAGGACCAAACGATCGTGAAGCCTCTCCAAGCTCTGCAAACCTCTCCCACCGATGGACTGGGACAGGTATAATCTGGCGACTGATGAATTGGGGTGCATGCTCCGGTTCATATTGATAATCTTACGGGTTTTGATGTCGAGATCTCTTAAATCCTTTCGGGCCCATTTCAGGACACCGAAAGAGTACATTAAGACTGGAACAGCGAGCATATTAGTAGCGGAGATTTTATTTTTGCCGGAAAGTTCGGACGACCAAATTTTCCTGAGTCTCCTAACATACTCGCTGCGGAGAGCTGTTCGGACTTCAGAGACCGCATGCATGTATCTATACAACTCTCCGGCGTCTAATTGTTTTAAGACGCTCCCATCTACTAACTCGACATTATCCCCTGTATCAGAGCACTTACCCTTCGCCAGATGTACGACCGCACACTTGTCTAACCCAAAAGACATTCCGACATCTCTTGTGTACTCTGCTACGATGTTAAGGGCCGCCTGTAGGTGATCTTCATTAGCACTATACAGCTTCAGGTCATCCATGTAAAGCAGATGGGTGATTGAGTATTTTCGATCACCCGGGGGTCCCACAGAGTACCCACGAGTTTTACGGAGAGCAACAGATATAGGCAGCAGTGAAATGCAAAACAGCAGAGGGCTCAAGGAATCGCCTTGGAAGACCCCTCGTTTGTACTCTACAACTCCGGTTATGTGCAATGCGTTTCCACTTCCAATGTGAAAACGCGTTCGCCAGAGCTTCATTGTACGCCGAATGCATTCCACTATTTCAGGATTGACCCCTAGGCACTTGAGGAGATATAGGATCAACTCGTGAGGAGTTGAGTCAAATGCCTTGCGATAGTCGATCCAGGCCATTGAAAGGTTGCGTTGATAGTAGATCGCATCTTGTATGACACATCGATCAACTATCAAGTTCTTCTTGCAACCTGACAGGCCTCTTTTGCTGCCACGCTGTTCATATACCTGTTGCCATACAGGTTCTATCTCCTGCAAAATACGGTTGTTTAAAATTTTTGTAAAAATTTTATAAACCGCATTCAAGCAAGTGATAGGCCTGTAATTCTTTGGGTCAGACAAGTCACCTTTTTTAGGTATCAGTACGGTTCGCCCTTCCACGAGCCAGTCTGGAATCGGTTCGTCAGCTCTAATGTACGATGTAAATATGCGGGCCAGATGAAGGTGGGTAGAAGTGAACTTCTGCCACCAGAAGACATTAATGCCATCTGGTCCCGGGGCAGCCCAATTATTGCGGTGCTTGCTACGTGGCCTCCAAGCGGCGCATCGCGGGAAACGCAGACCATAACACCAGGTCTGTAGGCGAACGACGTAGCCGATGCAGTGGGCCAACTACCCTCTGCATTGAAATGCTGAGTTACAACAAGACGTAATCTCAGAAGTACTCCCCACAACCGGTCCTTTTCGGATGAGGACCATTCATCAGGTGGGAGGAGCACGCCGGACCCGATGAACGTTGACGACCCTGGCGCTTTAAGGACTAATTTTAAGTGGACGGAGGAACTACGAGTCGATCTTTTGGTGTGCTACCAACATAGCGAGCCGGGGGTGAGCGGTTATATGGTCCGGATGCACACTCTTTGGAGTGAAATGCATCCGGAGCTAGCGCATTTTACGCTTAAACACCTGCGTAATTATGCCGCTTATCTTCGGCGTAATAGAAGATCGCTTGTGCCGGATAGAAGGCAGTCTAATAGACTTTCCATTCCGGCGCCATTACACCAAGAGCGGCGTCGTTCCTCCTTGGATGACAACAATCCCTTTATAGGACGGCAAGTAAGTGTATCTAAAAAGATAACTTACTCCCAACAACAGCTTGACGCGGTAAATGAAGATGTCCGTGCAAACATCCTGGAAGATTCCACCCTGCTCACTGTGAACCAGGTTGTGTATGGTGCAGCAGTTTCGGCTTTTCCGAGAGAGAGACATCGTCTCTTGATCAAGGCAAGGTTGAGACAGCGCATCTCACAACTTGGACTCAAAATTGACAGATCCCGGAAACAGGTCTCCCGCATTCAGTGTGTGATAGAGTTTGAAACAACCCAAAGAGCATACACGCCCCGAATCCGGTGCATTGCTTATTATTATTATTATTATTATTATTATTATTATTATTATTGTTACGCCAAAATAGCGTAATTGATTTATTCTGGGTTAAAGTAGACAGTATACATAAAATTACTGATTTGCAGGTTGTGTACATAACCTCAAAATCGGACCACTACCCGGTAAAAATTACCAGCGCTTTCAATCTCAATACCCAGATCCTTAGAGAAGGCAACAGGATAGTAAATAAAACTAATAAAATCATTTGGAGTGAGAACAAGGCTGTTGAATACAAAAGGGCAATGACAAGATCGGCAAGACTCAAAATTGATTTTAATCTGGCAAATGTAGATGAGATAAATGAAAACTTGTCCAAAGCTGTTCTGGAGGTCGCAGAGAGTCTAGACTGCCTGCGAACAGTAAACCATAGATCAATCGCAACAAACACTGAACCTTGGTTTGACGATGAATGACGCAAGGCAAAAAATCTGCTCAACCGTGCTCTACGTGCTCGCAAGAAAACAGTGAAACAGTGTAAGCCATATGATACTACAGTACAAGCCCTACGTGCAAATTTCCAGAAGGTAACAAAAAAACAGCGTAAAGCATACATAACGAAGATAAAAAAATCACTGTCCAACACAAGAAACGGGCCTGATTTCTGGAAAGTAGTGAAGAGTCTACGCCAAAAAAATTACAGCAGCCCAGTTATCTCTCTCAAAACGTGGGCTGAATATCTGACAAAGATATATCCACCAAGAATTAGTGATAGTACTCTTTTCTACGGGGTAACTCACCCATACCTAGATCGTGAAATTAACTATAAGGAACTGGACCACTGCCTCACAAAGCTCAAGAATGGAAAAGCGCCGGGTGAGGACACCATACTCAGCGAACACCTAAAACATCTTCCCAGCAACTGGAAATTATATATCATAGTATTCTTCAACAAAGTATTGGACCAAGAAATAACCCCCAGAGACTGGTCTTCGACTTTCTTCACCCTACTGCACAAAAAAGGTGATCCAACAGCACCAGAAAACTATCGTAGTATAGCTTTAACTAATAACATCTCCAAACTGTTCACCACGATATTAAGAGAGAGACTTTACTCATGGGCAGAACAAGCTGCGATTATTCCGGAGTCTCAAACTGGTTTTTGTGCAAACAAAAGCTGCCAAGACAATATTTTTGCCTTAATGGCAACACTTCAACTCCGTGTACGGCAGGATGGTGGATATGCAGAAGCGATCGTGATCGACTTTCGTAGAGCCTTTGACTCGATTAACCACTCTTTGCTCTGGAGGAAACTGTTTTTAATTGGAGTAAGCCCGAAACTGATACGCATTCTGAAAAACCTATATACAAATGCAACCACAAAAGTGAGGCAAGACGGAGCTTACTCGGATCAAATTGCAATCAGTGAAGGTGTACTGCAGGGTGAGTCACTCAGTCCACTACTCTTCATATTATTTCTAGCGGACATAGAAACTTTTTTCAGGAAAAATGGATGTGAAGGATTAAATATAGATGGCCGAACCGATATCCTCATGCTGTTGTACGCGGATGATTTGGTAATACTAGCAAAAAATGTTTCGGACATTCAAAAAAAAACTGCTCTTATTGAAAAACTACTGCGAAAATAACTGCCTCACTATTAACACACAAAAAACCAAGATAATCCACTTCAATAAAAATGGCAATTGCAGAAAGTTGAAGACAACTAAATTTACGCTGAATGGAGAGCATATAGAGGTAGTCAGTTCCTGTACTTATTTAGGCGTAGTTTTCTCGGGATCACTGTCTGGAAGGAAGGCAGCTGAATCTGCGATTTCTAGAGCAGCGATCGCTAGTTCACAAACACTGAACATTCTCGCTAAAGGCAAAGCGGACTCCTGGAACACCGTATGCAAACTCTTTGATACAACTATTGCTACCACGCTTCTGTATTCTGCTCATCTCTGGGGTCTTCGTCATCACCAAATGCTTGAAAAAGCCCAAGAAAATTTTTTCAAGAGACTGTTTCTGCTACCACGCTGCACACCGGGATATGCACTGAGGCTAGAACTGGGCTTGACAC